ATTTGTTTTACTAACCGCGTGCTTGCGTGCTGAGTTGCTTTATTACAGGTGGTTGGTTTGCTGTCGTATCTCAATGCGTATCTTTTTTTCTTCATCTTAACGTTTATCCTAACTTGCATACTTTGCTTAAGCTAATTGTGGTTAAGTTCGTTAACATTTTCGCGTTTGTGTCATTTTTAAAACATTATATTTTATAACATCTTGAACTTGTCGCGGATTTGTTGTAACCAGTTTATTACATATGCTTTTTTCGCCTAGATTAATGTTAGCATTTCCGTATGGTTTATTTGGTACATATTGTTATTCTTTGTATTTTAAGTCATTGGCTGTTGTTTGACGTCCACGGTCTATCTGCTCCTGCTGCGCACGTTGATAAGATGCCTACTTGTCTATTACCCACTATCTCGTCTACTTTGTCTCTAAGAAACGGTGGTTGCTGCAGGGGACGGGTTGCACGGTCCTCATGACGGTGCTAGGCTCGAAGATTGGTTCCATGCACTCAGTTTGGGGCTTACTACAGTCCAACCCTTGTGTGCTTGATTCCCCAAATACAGCGTGCTTGTGTTTGCATGTGAAGGAGTGTGGGCCGACTCCGTTGATGAGACGTGGCTGCCATCCACATGCTTTCCGGACTTATTCCTTCGGGTTTACACGAGATTGGGATGTGTGGTTAGAGCTGTAGGTAGTGCAGCGCAAGCCACTCATGGCTCTCTGTAGGCGCAGGCGTCCTGTGACTGTCCCCATGGAGGTCATAGTAACAGGCAAACCCGGAACCGGATGCCGCCTACCAGATATATATATATATATATATATATATATATATATATATATATACCGTACGTTTGAGAAGAGTCTTTCGTTTTTGCTCAGTCGACGCGCAGGTCAGGGATAGATTAGAGCGCACTAATTTGCCGACCCACCAATGGCATGTAAGTCTACTGTATTTACTCATCCACGCATGTCTGGGGGTGTGAATACGACGTGCGGACGCATTGCATCTGTCCTTGAAATATGTTAATGACCCTTGTCGATTTTGACACCGGCCAGTTCAGATTGGGTCGATGCGGACGTTTTTGACTGGTGGTTTGCAACATCTCGTGTGCCCCATGTTGAGGCTGATGTTACATTCTTGATGCTTCTTCACCGCAGTTGGGCTAACCCAACTTACACTTAAAATAGGTCTTTTTAAGCTGGCTAAATTTCATTATACTTTTTTTTGGTTTGTTCTGCCTCCCAGAATAATGTTCTATTAACTGGCCACGTTGTTTACGCTAATTGCGCTTATCTTCGGTAATTTTGTTGTGTTTTGTAGCATTTTTAAGTAACTTGTGGACATTTCTTACTTATCACGGATTTGTTGTTAACGCACTTACTTCATATGGTAAGTTAGCGAAGAGTTATGCCACCGTATCTGTATGCATTGTTGGATTTATGTTATTTCAGCTTGTCGTTTAAAGTGAATGGCTGTTGTTTGATATCCCCGGTGTGGTTGCGCTTGATGTGTATGTTGACAAGGTGCCTACTTGTCTATTACCCACTACATCGTTCATACTGGCTCCAAGAGACAGTTGGTCGTTGCTGGAGGGTACGGGTTGCACGGTTCTTGTGGCCGTGCTAGTCTCAAAGAGCGGTTCCACGCACTCTGTGTGGAGCGCACTACGGTCCAGCCACCGCCTTGTGTGCGCTTGATTTCCTAAATACAACGTGCTTGTGTTTGCCTGTGAAGGAGTGTGGGCCGGCTCCGTTGATGAAACGTGGTTCCCATCCGCATGCCTCCCGGTATTATTCCTTCGGGTTTACACTGGATATGGGGTGTGTGGTTGGAGCTGTGGGTGGTGCAGCGCAAGCCATCTATGGTCCCTCTGTAGGCGCAGGCGTCCTGTGGCTTGCCACAGTGACAGGGAAATCCGAAACCGGATGCCGCCAACCATATATATATATATATATATATATATATATATATATATATATATATATATATATATATATATATATATATATATATATATATATATATATATATATATATATATATATATATATATTGTCGGCGTTTGGCAGGAACGTAATGCAGAATCCGCTATAGAAGCCCTTAAGGAATATGAATCGGACACGGCCAATGTGATTCGTCAGAATACTAGGGGAACGCAGTTAATTAAAGCGCGAGAGCTTGTCCCTGGGAATGTCGTAGAAGTAGCTGGTAAGTAACTTCTTTGAAACGCCTATGTTTCTCTTGTTGCCGACTGTTCTCTTACCTACTTTGTGCCGAGTGAAATAGCGTTTTAGTTTACAGCAGCCTTCGGCTTCCTAGGCGAATCTCAGGCTGCTCCTTGCTTCATTTTATCGTGTATTTTTGGATCTGACGTTTACCATCTTTGTATTCACCAACTTGAGCTTCACTGTTCTCGTTCACCTCGTGCTACCAAGCTGAGCCGATGCATCTCTTTCTAGGAACGAAAGTTTTTGCCTATGCTGTATGATGTTTAGATGCGTGCATCTGTGGGTTAACACCCTAACAAGCGTCTTACTTCTTGTACCGGTAGGTAAACAAAATCCGGCCACCTCAACATTTGATTGGCTTTCCTTGATTCTACATACTTAGTGAAGCGAGAACCAAAGCCATGTTTGTCATGGATCCGCCTTCTTATTTTTCGCACGAGGGCAGCTGCACCTTGCGGTACACTTACCGTTATCATGGGAATATATCAATGCCTATCTAGGTTCTTTTTAATGGTTTCTACAGCATTAAACTAACAAGTGAGAAAGAAGCTTGTTCCAGGTGCGAACTACACGAGTTTTAAAAAGTTCTGTCATCGAATCTGCATATCTGCTGCTCTACCTTTACTTGTTATAGCTTGTTCGACGTAACCTCAAGCTACTAGGGATAATCATGATGTTGTGGGTTTCTATCAGATCCTGTCCAACTGCACTGTTTCAGGGGAACTGATTATATGCTTCCTATACGATCATGTCATAGATTTTCAATGATCGTTCATCATGTTAGTTCCCAGTTTTCTATCTCTTGTACCCACCGCCTAGATATACTGCGTTAGACTATGCGGTAGTCCAAGCGCAGTCGAACAACCGTATCATTCAATGGGAGCAAACCACATTTTAGGCGGAATGGCATTTTCACTACAGAACGACTCTTGCTACCCTCTACTGGCGCATACTCCCGCTCATCATTACCAATCCACTTTTGCTGAGAGTGACAAACATTTCAGCTACTGTGCCGCAATACAAACACTTAAGATGCTAAGCATTACGAGGTGACACTCGGATCACTCGCTTCTTTAACTCGACGCAAGGTCAGGGCTCCGGTTGGATTTTGTACCGTGCTCACATCGTCGCTGGCTATCAACATCTGATATCAGCAAGTATTATAGAGCCAGTATTCTTCCTACCGTTTCCATGCTTTTAGACAACCTAACTACCGTTGTTACCGAGCTTTAGGTCATTCGTAATGACAAGGATTTCCTGACTCTGCTTTTGGAATAATAATATAATAATGTGTCAGCTGCACGCCGTAACGGCGCTTCGCTGCCGCGCGACAACCACTAGTCGCGCGTGGGCTGAGTATACCGCGAGGACGCCCACCCCTACGCGGATTCGAAACGATGACTTTATGGTTGCAGAGCAAACGTGCATACCACCCGGCCACCGGCTGACCTGCTTTTGGAATACCAATCTTGCCTTTCGAATTGCGACACGCAACCTCGATTTTGGCTTCGGTTGACTTTATAGTCAGCGCTTGCCATTCGGAGCACTGGGACCATATTGGGAGCGATCTCAAGAAGTAGAGCCATCACTATATATATATATATATATATATATATATATATATATATATATATATATATATATATATATATAGAGAGAGAGAGAGAGAGAGAGAGTGCCCCATGCTGAGGCTGATGTTGCATTCTTGATGCTTCTTCACCGCAGTTGGGCTAAACCAACTTACACTTAAAATAGGTCTTTTTAAGCTGGCTAAATTTCATTATACTTTTTTTGGTTTGTTCTGCCTCCCAGAATAATGTTCTATTAACTGGCCACGTTGTTTACGCTAATTGCGCTTATCTTCGGTAATTTTGTTGTGTTTTGTAGCATTTTTAAGTAACTTGTGGACATTTCTTACTTATCACGGATTTGTTGTTAACGCACTTACTTCATATGGTAACTTAGCGAAGAGTTATGCCACCGTATCTGTATGCATTGTTGGATTTATTTTATTTCAGCTTGTCGTTTAAAGTGAATGGCTGTTGTTTGATATCCCCGGTGTGGTTGCGCTTGATGTGTATGTTGACAAGGTGCCTACTTGTCTATTACCCACTACATCGTTCATACTGGCTCCAGGAGACAGTTGGTCGTTGCTGGAGGGTACGGGTTGCACGGTTCTTGTGGCCGTGCTAGTCTCAAAGAGCGGTTCCACGCACTCTGTGTGGAGCGGACTACGGTCCAGCCACCGCCTTGTGTGCGCTTGATTTCCCAAATACAACGTGCTTGTGTTTGCCTGTGAAGGAGTGTGGGCCGGCTCCGTTGATGAAACGTGGTTCCCATCCGCATGCCTCCCGGTATTATTCCTTCGGGTTTACACTGGATATGGGGTGTGTGGTTGGAGCTGTGGGTGGTGCAGCGCAAGCCATCCATGGTCCCTCTGTAGGCGCAGGCGTCCTGTGGCTTGCCACAGTGACAGGGAAATCCGAAACCGGATGCCGCCAAAAATATATATATATATATATATATATATATATATATATATATAATTCTGTCAACAGCCTTTGATTCTGCAGCCGGTCGCTGCTAGAGATGAGTTAGTTATCTCGGAGGGGGTCTAACGCAATGGCTTTTTCAACACAAGTTTCCGCGATGCTTCTTTGATAATTTGGGAGACAGTTTACCGTCTTTCTGTTACCTTAATTGTTGTGTCTACCTCCGAGTTTCTGCCGATTCATTATTTTCCATGATTCGTAGTCCACGCATTGTGTTCTCTTTTCCAGCCGTGTCCAAAGAAACCTTTGAAAATGCCAACTGGGCAACCCTCTATTCCCCTTCTTCGAGGGATAGCAGCATCCAGAATGACGATTTCGGATGTCCGGCCAAGAAACCGATGATACATCACGGCATGCTTTGCGACAGTGCTTCGAATTCAAGAATGGTGGTCACAACCTCCGACTGTAATACCCAACCAAATTCGAGACCGGTCCCAGTCGTCAACCGACGGTACGCCGGTGCTTCAGCGCAGGTGACCGCGAGGGAGGTTGAATCCGACAACATTCCTTGTGAGTCACATCTAGCAAACCTAATCTGTCACATTTTCTGATATTCCAATCTTCTACATCATTCTTCTTGCATCTAAGCGCGGTTCATGTGCACACCTGCCACCCTTGATAACCTTGTCCATGAATTACGGTACCCTGGTATCCGCCACGCACTACCTGCTTGCAAGCTCTTGTCATTCTAAGTAGTATTCGACGCTCCCTCATTTCTTCTTAGCTGAGCCGGATCCGCACAACTCATCTTCCTTTCTGCTCATCTCTCCGTTCCACGCTCGTCACCAAAGATTTTCATCGACTACAGTGATTTAATCTTGTCTCTTATTCAAGATTTTTTTCTGTCACGTATAACTCTCATTGATTGAGAGGAAACGCAGGCGAGACGTTTTAATCGATTTATTCCCTATCGGTATTAACAAGTACTTGTACATTCACAAACGTCAAGTCCATGAGGGTCTGCAGAAGCTAACCACAGATTGGTAAAAAACAAACAGCTCTCATGACACCCGTTAGGCAATCAGTGGTTGGGGCATGGGTTACTGTTGAACGAGATCTGATTCCTCTGCTGGCCACGGAGATTGCAATGCTCGCACGAGCTTCTGCAGATTACAGGTGTTTGGGCTTGCCATTCAGTTGCTTAATGCTTCAGCGGTAACACAGCTGTGCTCCCAATTGACGGTTTACTTGTGATGGTACTCCACACAGGATTTCGTGTTCATTACGTTTGTCAACTCAATGCCCATTCCCCATCAGTTGGTTGGTCATGGAACTTAGATCACTTTTGTCTGCCTGGTTGTTGAGCGAATTCGATAGATGTTCCTTGATTCGTTTTTCCAAGTACCAAGTCGTACGTCCAGTGTATCTAGCTCAATTTCCTTATTCCTCTATGCCGCATCATGGACTGGCCTCTTCGCGGTTTAACCCAACTTAGTACAACCGCGCCGTATAATGCTCGCCGAGAAAACCGGCCAACAAGCATACGGAGGTCATGACCTAGTCAAGAATCAGCAAACGCTCGAATGATACACCAGAAGGGTTCTTGCCAAAAGCCAACTGGCGGACATCAGTGTTGCTCACCTGATATTCCCATCAAACGTGAGCAATATGCAACCACCTGTAGTCCAACACGGCCAAGCGTTTAACTTCTTCGCCGCGAACTGACTAGGTGTCTGGTCCACATTTGTAACACTGACCTTGTCGCAGCTTTATACACCCTACCTTTCACTGGCAGGCTGATATCCCGCTGTCTGCATATGTGGGTGAGCCTCTGGAAAGCCGCACGAACCTGGCTGATTCTCGAAACAACCTCAGTGATTTGACCACCAGATGTGACATAGCTATCAAGGTAAGTGAACCGATCCGCCACCTTCAGTGGCTGTTCAGTGATAGCTAGAACCGGTGGTGTATCGATAGAGCCCTATAACGGTACTTTGTACTGCGAAGGTGTAAAATATATGCCGAAGCATGCTGCACTGCGTGTTAATCTGTCCAGTAGTGTTTGCCTAGATTTTGCGTCAAACCCGCATAATCCAGGTTTGTCAATCGGACACTTGGTCAAACTTCACTGCGTTGGAGTCTGAAAGAGCCGAGTCATTCATGATCATTTCGATCTCAAAGTTGAAGAAGAAGAAGAAGAGGAAAGAGGGTATGGGACTATCCCGATGGACCCCACTTGTCGGTGTGAATTCAGGAGACAGTTTCCCGTATGCCTTTATACGGCCTCGAGAAACACGGTATCGAGACTTCAGAATGGAAAGGAATCTTTCTTAACTGAACTGTTCTCTGAGCCTGGCAGTTAGTTTGCAAACCTTTCGTCTGCAGTCGTGGTGCCATCATCAGTGCATTAGTGCATAGCGTAGTGTAATAAAGTGTTGCTATACTTGTCATGCTCAGAGAACAGTTCACCTAACCAATGAACAACCTGAGCTACTCACATTTACTTATACGTCGGAAAAGAAGTTAACTGACATGCCCTTCTTCAAGTATAAGTAGTGCCGTAGGCTAGTACAATCGGCAGAGTTCAAGTCAAGACGAACCACCATAGCCAGTCGTATGTATGTTTGTCTCTGCTCTGACGCTTGTTGAAGAGTACACATGTGGTCGGTGCAACCACGGCTAGGGCGGAACTCAGCCTGGTCTTCAGGGATTTGGTTTTTACGAAGACCAGTAAGTCATCGAAGACTAATACCCGTGAGAAGTTTGGAGGCAGTGGAAACAAAGCTAATGCCTCGGTGACTTCACACAAATTACTCTGACGTTTAATGAAGATGGGCACGGCAGTTGACAGTCACCAATCTGAAGACACTTCTTTAGTGTCCTAAATCATGTTAACTAGAGTAGGAACCCCAGTCAATAATGAGTCACCCCCAGCTTTCAGAGAAGATGGAAGAAGGTCGTCGGGTGCAGGAACTTTCTTTCGTTTCAAAAAGGTGAGCTAACGTCGAGTCTCCTCCAAAGTGGGAGGTGTGTCATCTACTTCCCACGTCGGCTCAGATGATTCAGCAAGCGGCATTGTCACACTAGGCCTGGCGAACTGCTCTTCCAAATGTTCCGACCAACGGACTTATCGACAAGGTTGAGAATAGGTCAAGTGCCCGTCTTTCTCGACTATCGTCTCACTAGCTGATGGCTTTCTCGGACCCGTGTTCAGAATAAACTGGAACAGAATTAGGCTATTCCCAATAGCACTGTCTTTCTCCATCCCACGGACACTAGCCACCTTGTCAATCGTCATTCCAGGGCGTTACGGATACGCTGAAACTCAGTACCCACTGGCATCTGTTTCCATGCTTCGATCGAAATGATCGATGCCTCATAGGTCCGCTCAAAGTTATGACGTCCCAAGTTGGGTACACAGCAGGTGTCAAAGGCATTCATGGCATATTTGTTACCGTCACACAGCGTTCAGCTCACCAAACTCATCCATTACTGACAATTGATAGGACGGTTCGTTATGATGTTACTGAACTCCAGACTGTGGATTCAAGTTACATTGTTAAGGTTATAAGTTCTTCCGTTCTTTGAAGCTGGAAGAGTAAACGCCAGTCGCGCGCACTAGAGCATGGTCATAATCCAGGCGGGTTCTCCAAAGTGACCGACAACCTTGTACTAATGCGCGGCATCTATAGCTCATGACAATATGGTCAATTTGGATCCACCTCATCGAGGAATTCGGTGGGCGCCAGGTAACGCGGTGTGAACGTTTGTGCTGGTAAGCAGTGCTATCAAGGTAAATATTATGGTCGGCGCACTTTTGCTGGAATGGATCACCATTGTCTTTACGGTTTGCATCAACCTCGAAGCGGCCTTTCAGGCGTTGTTGAGACTCTAAAACATGACTCACTTGGGCATTCAAGTCATTAGCAACAATCGCGACGTTAGTGTTCTTCGCCATACGGAGAAGAAATGAAAGATGATTCGGTCAAATCTGTCTAACGCGACCACTCAAGGGACCGACAAAAAGTGGTCGCCATGGACAGATTCGTGCAAAGGGACATTCATAGGCGAAAGCGTTGGGGATTTTTTTGGCTGGTCGCCATAGACAGGTGGTCTCCATAGTAGGTTGGACTGTAATATAAATCGTCCATCCGAACTGCAGTCAGTAAGGGCATAGACGGAAGCGATAAAAGGGCACCTTGTCTTCAGATGGTACCTTTTAACTCCTGTAGAGGTTCAAAGCCGAACCGCACACATGTGACTGTTCATCAGCATCCAGTCGAGTAGATTATTTTCGGCATGTTTGCTGGGGCGGTTACCAATACCGTAAATACCTTGAGCCATTAACTCAGTGTTGTCAGAGACGCAAAGAGTGTAGTCATTGTCAGCAGTTTCGGAACCAGAGATTTGAAGCTTTGTCTCAACGCTGTTATCTTGACTGCTTGTTTTATACACACAGCGCACAGCTGTCTGTTGGCCGATCTGACCCAGAGTGCTGACGTTAAAATAACCAGTGTGAAATGAGGCTTGTGGTTTGATGGATGACTTACGAGTATCGATGGCAGAGGCAGCAAGGTCAGTGGCAAATTCTTTCTCAATAGACGGGGAAGAAGAGAGGGGAGAGAAAAATAAGAGGAACTGGGAAAATGCTCGATGTAGTCGAGAGGGCCGACGATACTCTCCTGTTTCCCATTTCGTGAGAGGGGTTTTGTGCGAGGTGCCCTACCTATAGCTTTTGGCTCAGTAGGCTGACCCACCATGCAGTTGGGGAGCAAGTCCAGCGCGTGGGTGTGATTGCAGAGACCCCATGAGATCTGCTCTAGGCCTGCCACACACAGCCTTTGAAGTACTGGAACAATGCAAATGTGTTTTAGGACCTTATTACTTACACACCTGCGACCACGGCCAGCCGCAGATGGGAGGTAGCGGGTTTGTACCAATTTGACCAAGGACTGCATGGTTTTATGCGGGCGGTAGCAAACCATTTAGCGCTAGGTGATACCCACCCACCTTCAGAGACAATGTGTGGCATTCGTGCGCCACGCCAGCCGAGCTATGAGCTTATAATCCGTAAACCTGTTGTCTCCTATGGCTAGGTTTCAAAGGAAGACTGCCATCGACCTCTTCACAACCTCTGACGAGGACTGCATTGTGGGACTTAGTCCGGCCACTAAGCATTGACCTGTATGGTATGAGTGGCTCTGAACGGGTCACGGAGGTGCGCAAACCATCACACTAAGCTCCAGTTTCGTTGCCATGACTCTTCATTAGCATGGGCAATGCGACAGGAAACTGTACTATGCGGACGTCTGTAGATCTTTTGATTTAAACAGCTGTAGCAAACTCTCACAATCTTCTCGGCAACCTTGGCCAACATAAGTATCAAACATTTTGGCTTGTGATTTTCTTATTTGATGCATTGACGCTCTTCGGAATCGGCCTTGCCACCGAACATTCCCGATCAATCAGCCTCGGACCTTCTGACGACGACGACCCCTAGGCGAGATGAGAGTCAATGGGTGTTGCCCGTCATGTCCAACATGTTTTGTGCCGTCATGCTTGGTGAGTGTTTGGCACACTTCTTTGATGCCACATTCCACTGCCTAGTTCGGTTAGAGCGTTGGACGTCGAACTCGGTACAGACACCTGGTCATTTACAAATAAGGAAGCAAAGTGCACCACCCATGTGGACGCACGCTCACTGGTGGGGATTTAGGGCGGTCCGTTCGAGCCTTAAACCACTGGTAGACAACCTGTCGGCTTTAGGCGTCGCTTCGCATAAGCAAAGATTATTTCCATGACGGTTTAGGCTGCTCTTCGAAATGCCGGTGCTTTGCTCATTTTTGCGTTATTTCGCCTGTCAGTCGTCGATCGAGCCAAAGGTAGGGTTCTTTTCCAACAGTCTGTGCCTCCGCCGATTCAGTTTACGATGTTCTTTGTTGTACCGATGGGGCTTAATCGGTCCGACTTTTCGACATTTAAGAGGCACAAACTGGCTGCATAATGTGTTTACTCAATTCTTTGTAACTGACCAACAAGCTTCAGCAGACGTAGTTTGCGGCAGACACCAATCCATTTCACTCGCGGATATAGTCAGATCGTCTAAGCTCGTTTCCAGTGAGTTGGAATGCTGCAGTGGCAGCTCTGTGTTGGCAATTGGCACTGAGTAGTCGTTTGCTGCTGTGTTCCAGTATCTGAGCATCACACACCTGTTGTTCACAGCTTGTTAACATCAAGTTTAGGCACGACAGAGTTGATCGCGGCGTTCTGCGGGTCGGCTATATATATATATATATATATATATATATATATATATACATTCACACGGCCAATAGTACAATTATAATAATGCCACAACGAATGGAAAATACAATAAACATACGAAGATAGAGAGAAAAACCGGTGTTAATAGGAATAGTGACTCACAACAAGTCTTCCATTGAGCACGATTTCTTGACAAATGCGAGAGCGTTTCCATCCAAGGAGCCGAGAACGCCTGACCACGGCTAATTTTTACGTTAGCTCCTGCCTGCTCCTGGCCCAACTCATACATTGGCCACCTTGATTTCGCTTCCAGCCGATTTATGCGTGCGCGAAGATGGCACGGCGAGGTAGGCGATGAGTAGGCATGTGGCGAACGTGCCCAAACCACTGAAGTCTGCGCAAAGAAATTATACTGCTTAGTGGCCAGAAAAGTCTGTCCCATCTGGAAATCCTTCGTCGAATATCTTCATTCTTAGTGTGATCTTGCCATCTTACACCAGCAATGCTCTGAAGCCAGTTGTGATCAAAAACAGACAGCCTCTCAGCATACTTTGTGCGAAGAGGTCAAGTCTCGCGGCCATAGAGGAGAACCGCTCTCATTGTGGCATTGTAAACTTGACCATTCCGAGATGCACTCAGATCATCTCGACGCCAGTGATGGCGGAGATTGGCGAAAGCAACCCTAGCCCTGGCGACACGCCAAGAGACCTCATCCGTTAAACCGCTAGCGCTGAGGCAGCTTCCTAGGTACAAGAACTTGTCCACCACTTTCGATGAATGACTTCGAAGGGTAAGGTTAAAAGCGGCGTTTAGCCAGTGCTGCAGGAAAACCTTTCATTTCGATGGTGCGAAGGTCATTCCAAACTGAGAGACAGACGCCTCCAACCTTCACAGGACATTTTGGGCGGCGTGTGACGAAGCGCAGATTACGGCTGTGTCGTCTGCATACTTCAAATCCCGAAGTCGGTCCCACCGGAAGCAGCTCGACGCCACTGGGTTCACAGTTCTCTAGAGCACTCTCTAAGATTTCGTCTATAGTGACATTTAACAAGAAGGGGGATGCTGAGCAACCTTGTCTCACACCACTAGTGATACCTAAGGGAAGCGAAAGTCCGCCGTACACCCATACTCGGTTCGAGGTTTGAGAGTAGATGGATTGAAGTAAGGTGACATACTTCTCGGCCACTCCCCTTCTCAGTAGACAACTCCAGAGAGCAGCTCTGTCTACTGAGTCGTATGTCTAAGAAGACAACCATCGTTTGTTGGCCAAATATTTAACGACGCTCGAGTATTTGACGGTGTCAAGATGTCGATGTAACTCCAACCGGAGCGGAACCCAGATTTTTCTTCACAAATGCTCTGTTGGCGTACCTGTTTGAGCCTCTTTAGATGCAGAGCTGCGAACACCTTGGAAGCAACACAGATGAGACCAATCCGTCTATGATTGCTGCAGTCAGTTCGGGTACCATTTTTGAAGACGGGCACGATATCCGCTAGGCTCCAATCAGATAAGATAACTTCAAGTACCCAGATCTCTTGGAGAAGTTAACTCCTGAACAATTGTTGGGCCGCCAGGTTTGAAAACTGGCGGAGGGAGTTCATCTGGGCCATGGGCTTTGTAGCACTTTAAGAGGGGAAGCTCATGGGCAACTTCAGCCTCAGATGATGGTGAAGTGTCTGCACACCAGGGAGCGCTCTTGGCTCCGGAATAGGAACTCATTGGTGCTCGGCCCAACGCTTGATTGTGAATTTTTGACAGTGGATTCGCTCGTTTTTGGTTTCGCATAAATCTTCGTTTACAATCTACCTTTTGCCCCCAGTTGATCAGATCAGGAGGAATAGCTTACGGTAATTCCCCGAGGTTGCCGCTTGCTCCCTCTCAATGACCAACTGTCTCCAACAGACCTCGCGATCCTCCCGGAGAAGGTATTTGAGTTCAGCATTAGTTGTTTTTCGTAGTGAATGGTATATCACGCTAGTAGAAATTGCTCGACGGACTTCGAGAATTTGGAGGGATCGTACAGCGATCCAATAGTTGACAATAAAGGCGGTTCCTACTTAAGCATAGAGACCTCGAACCTTACTTGATTTGTCTTGTCTTCGTTTCGCAGCTTTTTCTATCTTTGAGATTCCGATGGCTCCTTAGCCATCGGTTATTCATCTGGGTCTTTGGAGCTAGCAGAGTTAGAAGTCAGTTGGTGTCGTGTTTCAGAGAAACTTCGGTTGATGTGATGAAATGTCAGGCAAATGGGGAGAATGGCTGGGTTGATCATCGAAGGTAATCTGGACCTGTTTCTTGGCCATGTGTCTGGATCTGTTCACAGTTAAGCATTTTTTGGCTTTATCGGTAAAGGTTACTCCTTGCTCTGACTGCCTTAGACTGCTCCAATCGTTGCACGAAATTCTCATGGCATCATGTTGTATGGGACAATAGAATTTGACAAATAATCTAACAAACGAAATATGAAATCTTGCACAACAACCGAAGCACGTGAGAACATTTGCCTTGTGTCCAACCATTTTCTAACAGAATCCACAGGGTAATTGTTTCGGTATTTTAGAAAATAATGTTAATGTGACGTAAAATGGCAAGGCCGAATTTACAAAACGGAACTCCGAAATCTGCGAAGTGATGCCACCCAAATTATAATCCAACAACTTGCGGAATCAGAGATGAAATTGAATGATGCCGAAATTTCCATGCAATAATTTCGATGCACGGATGAATTCACCGAGAACGAATTCTGATAGCGAGATAAGCGACGGGACGCTGCGAATCACAGTGAGCCCCTCAAATGCTTATGCTCCTCGGTTTCTTTTCTGCGATGAATCTTCTCACCAAATTATCTGTTTTCCACTTTTGGCTTCTTGACGCAATCGCAATCTTAGCTTGGTACAACCCATCTCATTTACGCGCCCCCACGCACGGATTTTCTTTGTATGTTCTCGTTTATTTTCAAAATGATGGCCGCTTCTGCCATGCGCTTTAGTTCCGTACGAACAGTGCTTTCGTGCGGTAAAACCATGGGACAATTTACTTGTGTAGCTGTGGTAATTGTGCATTGCCTTCACTAACCAGGTCTTCCGCTTCGGTGTTCGGCCGATCTGCTCCATCTTTTCTCCTCATCTCACGTATTGTTTCGAATTTTTTCCCCGCATCTGTATGCACCAGCTACCATCGACCCGATGAAAGATCCAGTGCAGCAGCTATCCGAGAAGCACACGTGTGTCACCACTAATCCCCTCCAACGGCAAACATCGATGCTTGAACGACCTGTTTACCCGAGGCAGAGTAAGCTCGAGTGTGATGCCGAATTTAACCAGGCTGGTTCCGTGCTTTCCCATCATCCGTCCAACCGTGTTACTGGATTTACTGTTGAAGACCCTTGTAAGGTAAGCTGACCCCAAACTCCCCTGTTAGATCACTAATCGATCAGTGTTGTGCTTACGCTATCCTTGCTTCTTCTTCTTGGTTTGTGTTCGTATCTGGTTTTGCCGTTTTCATTGGGAGTTGATTTTTCGGGAACTTGATATTGACTTTTCCCTCCCGCAGTCCGATGCGTGCCTGTACTTGGTGAGGTCTGGTGATTGTGCTGATTGGTAAACTGCAAATAGACTGGAGTAGAAAATTCATGGTTACTGGAGTATAAACAAACTACGAGACATGGTATGGGGCACTGCAGACTAAGATCGGCCACGCATTTGCTCAAGGAAGCTGCGGGTTAATGACCACTGATGCGTGAATTCTTTTTGTCGAGTATCCCTCCGAGTGTCATTACAAAGTTCAGGTAACGATCACAATCTTCCACAAATGTACCATAATATTATATATATATATATATATATATATATATATATATATATATATATATATATCGGAGAAGAATGCTGCATTTACTGCACATGTGGCAGATCCCAGTGACTTGGGGTAGTCAGTTTCGCAAACTTCGACGGAGACTCACCCGAGAGCTCCGTCGCATTAAAAAATGCATGGTGGACGGAGAAGGCGATGCATTTGGTATGCTACGCCGAACACCGCCAACACAAGGAATTCTTTGACTCCTTGAAGGCGGTGTATGGACCGAGGTTGGAGCCGCTGTGGACGCTAATCGATGGTAGTACAGGCGCTACTTGCACACAGACTGCAGACATAATGCAGATCTGGCGGAAACACTTTGACTGTCTCTTGAACAACCGTTCGGAGATCGACTGACTTACTTTAAACGGCCTCAAGAAGCACGATGTGAGGACGAGTCTGGCGGACACGCCGACACTGGATGAGCCGCAGAGAGCACTTGCTCAGCTGCGAAACGGCAAATGTGCTGAGGCCGACGGGATCCCGTCTGAAGTATTGAAACACGGCGGACACGCGTTGTTGACTGCACTGCACCACTTGGTGCAACGCGTGTGAATTGAGGAGGAGGTGCATGCTGAGCTGAAGGATGCCCTTGTGCTGCCACTGTACAAGGGCAATGGAAGCAAGCAATGTTGTACGAATTATTGTGGCATCAACTTGCTGAGTTTTGTTGAGGTAATGTGATTGCCCGAATCCTGCTCAACCACCTCGTCAGTCAGGTTGTGGATCCTAACGTGGCAGAAGAGCGATGTGGATTCCGTTCGGGTCGCAGCACTATAGATATGGTGTTTGCGGCTCGTCAGTTGCAGGAGAAGTGTAGAGGACGACACCAGCCATTGTACTCGCCTTTTGTTGATTTCATCAAGACATTTGATACGGTAAACCACGGGGCATTTTGGTTGGTGTTGGGTAAGTTTAATTGTCTGAGTAGGTTTTGTAAGTTTAATTGAATGTCTGCACAGTGGTATACGGGCGAGGCTGCAGCTAAGTGGATAGACTTCAGATGACTTTGCAGGTATCTCTGGTTTGAAGCAAGGCTGTGTCTGTTTAATATTTATCTTCATGTAATGATGTCTTGTGCATTTGATGCGGCTTGTGCTTACGACGTTAATGTGGAGCACCCCATTGTTGGTGGGTTGCTGAACATCTGTTGTTTCGGTGCGAGAGCCCTAGTGTGTGAGACAACTATCCGTATGTTACTGTTTTCTGACGACTATGCATTGTTTGCAAACAGTGCGGATGAGTTGCAGCACATGTTTAGTGCTTTGGCTTCGACAGCTACTAAATTCCGACTCACCATCAACACAAGCAAAACTGTCTGTCTCTTTAGCCTTCTCCGGAGGTGCAATCTTCATTATTGCCGCAGCAGCATTGGTGATGGCGTTTTGGAAACCACCTCCCACTTCTTCTACCTTAAGAGAGTGGTTTTGACTGATCAGGAAATACACGGTGAGCTGCGTATCCGCGTCTCTAAAACAGCAGCGGCATTCGGGAAGCTAGAGTACTGAGTGTGGAACAACCACCGGCTTACCGTTGGCACAAAGCTGATGGTGTACAAACCCATGGTGCTGTCCGTTCTTCTATACGGCCGCGCCACCTAGACGATGTACCGGTGGGAGGTGCGATATCTCGAGCGGTTTTATCAACAGTGTCTGAGACAGATTCTGCGCATTGGTTGGTGCGACCGTGTTTCGGACACGGAAGTGTTGCACCGTAGTGGAATGTATGCAGTGGACTGCATACTTTTGTGGAGGCACCTGAGGTGGCTCGGTCATGTGTGGCGTATGAATTCGACGCGGATACTGAAGCAGCTATTATATGGTCAGCTGCGTGTTGACAAGCGGCATGTGGGGAAACCGAAGCTTCGTTACCAGGGCATGATCAAAGGGAGCCCATCACATTCAACTCTTGATTGCAAGTCACGGGAAACCAAAGAGGTTGTTCGGCGTGCATGGCGCTATCTGATCACGATGGCCGTTGCCGATGTGCAAAAGAGTCTTCATGCATGCAGAGAAGAAGAGGCAGTTTGCAAGGCGACAGACGCCGACTCATTGTACTCCAACGACATCGAGCGCATGGTGCTGTAGCCCATGCAGTCGCGAGTGCCTGAGTCAGGCAGTCCTAGATAACCATAAGCGACGCCACTCGAGGCCAACACCTAAGCGACGACGAGTCCTGCAGAGAACGTAGGCAGAACCGGCGCAGCGTTGGTAGGTACGCTGCATTCGATTTACTAACCGCGTGGTTGCATACTGTCTCATTATTTCAGGTGGTGGGTTTGCTATATTGTCCTAATGCTTTTCTTTCTCATATTAAGGTCTACCTGAACTATCTATAAAGTTGCACAGTCCCTTTAACTACTTTGGCTAACTTTGTTAACATTTTTGCATTTGTGTCATTTTCTTGAAATATGTTTTCTGACTTCTTTAACTTATTGCGCATTTGTTCGTAACCTCTTTATTTTATATGCTCATTTAATTAAGAGTTGTCACCCTACCTGTATGCATTATTCGATTTTTTTAAATTTTATCGTTTCAAGTGATTGGCTGTTGCTTGATATCTCCGGTGTAGCTGCGCTTAATGTTCATATGGAAAAGGTGCCTACCTGTCTATTACCCACTACCTCGTCCATACTGGCTCCAGGAGACGGTGAGTCGTTGCTGCGGGGGACGGGGTGCACGGCTTTTGTGGCCATGCTAGGCTCGAAGAGTGGTTCCATGCACTCAGTGTGGAGCGGACTACGGTCCAGCCACCACCTTGTGTGCGCTTGATTCCCCAAATGCAGCGTGTTTGCATGTAAAGGAGTGAGGGCCGGCTCCGTTGATGAAATCTGGCTCCCACTCATATGCCTCCCGCTCTTATTTCTTCGGTTTGCACTGGATATGGGGTGTGTGGTTGGAATTGTGGGTGGTGCGGCGCAAACCACCCGTGGTCGCTCTTTAAGCGCTGGCCTCCTGTGGCTGGTTCCAGATTTGCCGGTTTCTGTAGCCTCCATAGCACAGCCACAGGACGCGTGCGCCTTACAGATGGACCATAGGTGGCTTGCACTGCAGCACCCGCAGCTCCAACCAATGTAACCCCGAAGGAATAAGACCGCGGGCATGTGGATGGGAACCAGGTTTCATCAGCGGAGCCGGCCTGCACTCCTTCAACGTGCACAGCAGTAGCATTCCTGTCTCTCTATGTAGGGAATCATGCGTATCAGCGGTACACAAGGCGGTGTTTGGGCTGAAGTCCGTTCCACGCTGGATGCATGGAACCGCGCTTTGAGCCAAGCGCTGCTGCGAGGACCGTGCACTCTGTCCCCCAATCATCGATTCAGTCTCCTGGAGCCAGTAATTGAGGGTGCACCAGCTTTCAAGTTAGTTATTTTCTAAAATCAGTCAATCCCGGTTATTGTGGTTATCATACAGTCTTCCCCAAATGTTTCCGTTGTAGAAGTCAGGTCGTTTGGGCCCTTCGAATGCAGTTTGTTTCAGTTCTGTGAAGCGACGTCAACTAGAACGTCTTCAGAAACGTTCCGATTGGTTCCTCAGCCCTCCCGCCGGCCTACGATCTAGTGGTCTAATGCATCTAGACCCTAGCACGCCGAAACTTCGTGAGTTCGATAATTGCTAATAGCCTGGGTCCGTTTTAATAATATCCTCCCCAGTTTCTGTCTCTGTTTCCATATTGCTGCGATTTCTTCAAAGGTACCAAATGGGCAATGCTACCATCCGATATTTTTCCGCACATGTCTTTACGAATCTACCCCCATAGTTGGTTCAGTCGTTTCTTTGCACATTGCACAGGAGTAACCGGTCCATGAGCCTAATCATCCGTTCTAACCACTGACACTTTAGCGTTTACTTGTGAGTAGGGGATTTTCAGTTATGGCACTAACCGCTTGCTTCGGGAAGCGAGAGGTTCGATTCCTGCTGGAGCCCGGTCATACATGCCACTGACAAATACACAGGACGAAATGTAGTCTGGTACTTTTTTGAGACACGTATCATTTATTTCGACTTGAGGGTACTGCGAAGTGCCCCAGGTACATTACTTCCCTGCTTACTTACTGACATCGATTTTTGGAAACAGTCTCATTGGCAGTAACACGTCGACAGTTCCAACAGATACTGTCGTACAACCACAGTGACTCACTTGTTGTGTTTCCGTTCATACAACGATACCCGATGCAGCTCTTCAAATCCCGGTCAAGATTCTTCCAACATCCGAAGACAAGGACTCGTCAAAGTCTTTAATTGAATCCAAAGAAAGACGGCATTAAACCAGTACAAATGAGTCTGCTTATGTAGTCCAAGATGAAGGACCTGTATGAAATTTTCCAGCTGCCATAAAATATCGGGTGCAGGAAAATGTTCCTGTCAGATGATACGAAGTCGGAAATGTTGCCCTTGGCTGACTCCAATAGAAGAAACGATGTTGTTGGCTGATTGCATAGGTGGATCGCGTGTGTTTCATGTCCAAGTTAGATCGATTGTCATCTTGTGTTTCGCCCAATTTTTGTGCCCCTTTGTCCCAGAAGGAGTATGTCGCCGTCTTTTCAACTCCCTTTATATAGTAAACGGTCGTAGGTGGTACTGTTGAAACCATTAACTGATCTCATGTTCAGCCTATACACCCGTAAGGGTAATATTAGCAACTTTTCGTTTTGAGTTTTGGGACGTCGCCTAACCAGCCGTAGGTATCCAGTGCATGTTATTCGACATCGTAATCACATGTTTGTCATCTACCTTGATACATCAATGGTTCATTTGTTCTCCGAGCTTGGCGGTTTTCTCGCAAACGTTTCACCACCATGCGAGGTGGCATCCTCAGTGCAGTGATATGTAGCGTACTAGCTTACTAAATGAATCCTCCCTCCATGATCGACCTGCAGGTGACTTCGAACGTGGCAGTGTCGATTTTAGGTCTCGTGACCTCTACCCACTTTCCCCAAGGATAAAGTCGGCGCCCGATTTGTTCTGCCTCAAACGGCGTGACAAAGGTTCTTTCTTTCTTTCTGTCGTAGTGGTTCGTATATTGAATCAATGTCCACACGCATGTTGATTGAATGTTTCGTTGAGAACCAAGCTTCCAAGAATTCTCTTTCTTTTCTTGTTTCACCCCGTGCCAGGACTTCTGCTTTGCTCCAATCGAAGCTATGTCCTTCTTCATCTACATGTATTGAAACTAGCGACGATGCATAATGCTTTACACAGGCTCTCTTATGTTCTTGTATCCTTGTTACCAATTTTCTTCCCGTTTGGCCAACATAATCCCTTTCGCAATCTCGGCAAGGTATTTTGTATACCACATTGCGTTGTTCATGTGCCCGTAGTTTTTCTTTTGGTTTTGAAAGGGTTTTTCTCAACGTGGCAGTTGGTTTGTGTGCTACGATGAGATGATGCTGTTTGAGTAGTCTGGCTGTCATTTCCGATATGTTCTTCATATAAGGCAGAACAACCCGTTTCTCCGTTGTCGTTGTTGTTGTGTTTGTTGTTGCCGCTGCTGCTGTTGTTGTTGTTGTTGTAGGCTGTATGTTGACGTTGTTGTGATTCAGACACCTTCGGATGAAGCTTCGTGGGTATCCGTTGAGTTGGAAACATTTAAGTAGGTGTTTTTCTTCCTTTAGTTTTGCTTCTGTGGTACTACAGTGTGTTTGCATTCTGCGAAACAGTGTCCGCACACAGCATACTTTGTGGCATTTCGGGTGGTTGCTGTTAAAGTTCAGAATTTGGTCTGTGTGTGTGCCTTTTCTGTAGACCGATGTTTGCAGCTCGCCTTCCATAGTTCTTGTTACTAATACATCCACGCCGTTTGAGGCAGAACAAATCGGGCGCCGACTTTATCCTTGGGGAAAGTGGGTAGAGGTCACGAGACCTAAAATCGACACTGCCACGTTCGAAGTCACCTGCAGGTCGATCATGGAGGGAGGATTCATTTAGTAAGCTAGTACGCTACATATCACTGCACTGAGGATGCCACCTCGCATAGTGGTGAAACGTTTGCGAGAAAACCGCCAAGCTCGGAGAACAAATGAACCATTGATTCATCAACCCGAGCTACCGGTATTTCGAATCATTTTACCTTGATACAGTCTAATCTACGGAAATCTGACCAGCACGCTCTTGAGAGGGTCCTGAGACGCTTCACGAAAAAGCTGTGTATATTCCTCAAAGTTGACATACAGGGAGCGATGTTATAAACTTGGATTTGACCCAGTTTGGCTTCGGAGAATGAAGCTGAACCTATGTTTTCTTTACAGAATCATAAATCGTCGAATTTGCAGTCTTGAAAACGGTGTTCACATAACTGTAAACATCAGATACCCAATACGTAACAGAGGTGAAGGTCATGATTCCAAAATTTACTACGAGAATCAGAGAACATTTCTTTCTAACCCAATACTCAAAGATTTGGAACAAACTTCCAAATGATATCAGAACATGCTATACTCTGCAATTCTAAGCTTGTTATTAGTAAGCATTTAACCGTCCAAAACGTGATTAAGTTGTTCGGGACATCACAGTCCCTAGATAACGCATTCGGAAACGGTATCCATGGTGTCTGAATAAATTTCCGAAACACATAACATTTCGGACAACAGCCCCTTTCATTGCATTTTTTTCCATCCTGTGATTGTGAAGAATCCTGATACAATGGCAGGAAAAAATAGCAGAACGATTCTGATTACTCTGTGTAACCTAATTTGCAATTGCGCCCATGTTTATCTCTGAAAATGTATTACTGAAATGTCATGGAAAAGTTGTACCATTATTTGATCTGTTCCTTCTAGGGAACAGCTTCTCGCATTGTCGAGGAATATACAATTTATTTATTTACTTTGATGCTACCTTTAGCTACTCTGTTTGGGCATTTTACTTCTATGAGCAAATCTATTTGTGTCTTATTTGTTGACTGGACCAGTGCAGTCCTAGGTTACATACTGCTAGACTTCTGCTCCCGTGGCTGTAGCCTTCAGTTTCCTCTTGGTCCGAGTCGTTCCTTGACTTCGTGAATCCAGGAACACTAGCGTTATCACTTGAGATTCCGCCTTTATCTGGTGCACTTTTCTTACAGCTGTACTGCTTTTCAGTGTCTCGTTGGTTTTGGTTTTTGTTTTCCCCACTGCCTTACATTTTCGCTATATTTGTCATCGTCGTGCATTGATGCGACACATTTTGGGCACCTGCGACTTGTTTCACGACCGGTTGTTCTCTGATCACGTTTTCTTACTTTCAAATACGACACGGGACACGCGGCCGCGTAAATCCTACCACTGTTTTGACATGTTGGCTGTAACGAACAATCACCAGTCTTCCATCTCTTGGCGTCGGACAACCAAACCGTCTCTTCTCACCCTTTTCTTTCTGTTAATCAACTTTTAACACATACAGTATGCTGATCATACTAATATTTATGCAGAGACGTTTCCTCGTCACCAAAGTCTTCAGGTGCGTATAGGCCGGTGAACCGTATTGTTCACACGCTGGTGCTCATAGGCTTGGATCCTTCCTACCAAGTCCTTTAGGAGCTAGGACCTTAGCATCTCTCTGTATATATCTACTGGGTGTTTAGTTTCGTTCCATTGAACGACTATGATCCGCGCATCGAAATGCGGTGGGTCCAGTTACCACTACTTAAGTCGCCAGAATAACAATAAATATCATTGGTAAGAAAATGAGGTTAAATGCAAATAAAATGCAAAGCAGAATTAGGACAGAAGAGCGCAAAACTGGTTGCGGTGAAATGTAAATGACCAGATAGATGTAAGGAACCCGAATTCAAGAAGTCCACTAGGTGCGCGACTGCACCATGTCTGATAGCATCTCCAAACACTGGTGTGGAGACCATGCCGAGGCCTACATCCACACACCAGATTGACCAAGTCTCGGTTATGCCACGCCATCAGCTGGTTAGCTCGCTGTTTCACCTAACTTGCTGCAGCCAAGCCGTATAACGCACACCGTGCATACGGAGGACATCGCCTAGCCAACGTAAACAATTAAACAAATAATAAATAAACTGTTTATTCTCGACTACACAAGGCTCGCCTGCACAGGCATGATCATGGTAAGAGTACAATGGATGTACAATGGAACAATAGGCTTGTCACTAATGTTGATATATAAATGTATGTATGTGGCTTGTGTAGCCCTGTTTATGGGATTTGTAAGTGCTTTTTTGCACTTTTGATCGTGTTGCCAATGCTAAAGGGATGCTTGATGTTTGTGGACTTGAAGCGGTTGTACGGATAAGCAAGGGGTGACTTTAGTTGGTGGCGAGTCACAATCGCCACTTCACATGTTGTTATACAGACATTTGTGGCTTTTTATAGGAATAACGCTTGCCAGACGAAAACCCACCACGTCCTGGAACATTGCCGCCGAACTGTTTGCTGGAACCGGGTAAACCCGAACCACCCAGCTGGTATCACAAGGAGGTTGTTCGGGTAGCCAGCCTTGAGTATGATTCCGTAAACACTCAAGTTAGGCATCAGAAAGCTTCTTGCCAAGACCTGACTTTTGGACCTCAGCATTGCCCACTCGGTGTTCCCATCAGACGGGAACAATACTTCACAATCACCGACGGTCAAACACGGCCAAGCGTTTAATATCTTCACTGCGAACTATACATTGGTCAGACCACATAGTTTGACTGCACCTCGCATCGCCGAGGAATATACCATTTATTTATTTATTTACTTAACTGGACAGGTTTTTGTTTCACACAATACACAGGGCTTATTGCAGCGTCATATACCCTACCTTTTATCGACATGCTGATATGGCGCCGTCTTCATAGATGTTTTAGCCTCTGGTAAGGCACTCGGACCTGGCTGATTCACGATGTAACTCCCTGAGTGATTTGATCACCATACGTGACAGCTACTTAGATGAGTGAACCGATTCACTACTTTCAGGGACTGTTCAGTGATAGCTAGAACCGGCGATGTGTCCATCCAATCATGTAACTGTAGTTTGCATTTTGAAGGTCCAAAACACATGCCGAATTATGCAGCGCTACGTGTAGATCTATGACTCATTCGTCAAACAATTTCTTGATGCTCTGGCCATCGCAGAGGATAATCAACGGTGCCCTATCTGTTGCTTTGAGCAGGGTGGATAAGGGTGTTGGATGCTACAGCTCAAGCCTTCCCGTCTTCTTATTCCCCCTCTTACGCTTTTTCACACTTACCGTCCCGTTCCAACTTCACTTTTATCCCCCCAGTTTTCAACCCCCGATTCTTGGCCCTCCCCCAACATGCTTTGCTAAGCATTTATCTTCTAATTCCAAATCACGTGAATGCGGAATGTCACTCCTCTCCTGTCGACAAGCCCATGTCCAACCAAGCGGTCCATTCCAGTTCATCGGCTTCCATTTGGAGCTCTCGATTCTTCTTCAGATTGGCATGCCTCAATGTACGCACATTACTACAGATCGGTCAGTAGGCAGCACTTGCCCGAACATTGGAGACCCTCTCGATCGATATCTGCTGCTTATCGGAGACCCGCCTGCAAGACTCGAGCTCTGTGCTCACTCTGCGATCCCGTTCAGTTGACGCAAGCAGTATTTTCTCATTGCGCCTATCCGTTGTCGATGCAGCTTCGAGCACCGGCCAAGCTGGTGTTGGTATTGCCCTGAATCCCCGGGCTGAAGCTGCTCTGGTTGATTGGATTCCAATCAGTAGCCGGACGTGTGCGGTCCTATTGACTGGCTCGTTCAAGGCTTCGAAGTCGCGCGAGACTAATAGGTGTCTATTCATCATCACTGCCTACGCACCAACAAACTGTAGCGATGATTCAGTAAAGAACGACTTCTACCGCCAACTGACTCAGCTCCTTCGCCACAGAAGAAGCACGGACACTGCTGTGCTGGCGGGGGATCTGAACGCACAAGTTGGAAACTTGTCCACTGATGGAATACATCTGGGCGGCCAACATGGTATAGGCTCCCGTAATGATAACGGTGAGCGATTACTTCATTTGTGTGAAGAGGCCCGCTGATTTCTTGCGAGCACTAACTTCGGACACAGCACCCGCCGGAGGGTAACTTGGCGCCCACCAGCATCGAACCAGTCTTGCACGCAGATCGATCACATTGCTATCGGTTACCGCTGGGGAGGCTGCATCCAGAATTGTCGCTCGATTTGGAGTACATGTGTGGACACCGATCATGCACTTGTATGTGCTGACATGCGGATGCCTATCCTTTGGTGTTAGCTCAGGTGGCATGCAACTGTTGTATTTATTTTCCTTTTCCTTTATGTATTGCGGCACAGTAGCTGAGGTATTTCCCACCTCTAGCTGACGTGTATAATGAATGAATGAATGAATGCATCAGGTCCAATGAGAGCTATATCGTCAGCATACTCAAGAGTTGTCAGTCAATCATCTGGCAGAACTTCCACTTTGGTAAGTACTTTAAAAACAGAATCACTTAGGACCAACTTGATCACATTTGGAAAGATATAGCACAATCCTAGTGAACCCCACTTGTCGTGCGGGACTCAGGAAACTGCCTCTCGGGAGTCGCGGTAGAGTGGTTTTAGAGTAAAATGAAGTTTCCCAAACACTTCACACAGATAGGCAATGCCACAAGCTAGTTCGATTAGCAGAGTCGAAGCCTGGTTTCAGGTCAAGGAAAACTGCCATGCTCGGTCACCTGTACTTGTGTTCTTGCTCTGACACTTATCGAAGTGTAATTATGTGGTCTATACAACGACATATACTTTATGTGTTTGCAATGTCGGAGTGCTCACCGATTCTGCAAAAACTGACATTGCCTGAATCCCACCGATTTTCCTCACCAACTTTTACAATCTGCAGTCGATTGGGATACGTAATTATCTTTGGTAGCTACACTATCCTTGCGTCTTTTCCGATCTTTACAGCAAGCTTTAGTTATCTTGTGTTTGGTAATCATCTGTGAAACAGCTGCGCTATCTCCGACGATCTTGGTGGATTATCGCCCGTGCCTAATGGGGAGTTCACATTTGCCATTGTCGCATGCGCCTGTGTTCACAACTGACGTAATGAATCGCCATGTGACATCCTATCCACTCGTGTCTCTAGATTGGGGTACTGCATGAACCACTGCAGAAAACTCCATGAGCAAACTTTGAACTTGCTCATAACAATATCCGCGTGCCATCTGCTAGATTGGGACGCTCATTCTCAACTCTCCAGTAGACGAAACCGATTGCGCCAGCTGTGTTTGTGGTCTGCAATTGGCACGAAGTACCCTGATGTGGGGCCACTGGATGGGAAGCCATGCTAACTGCGCACGCGCGCTGACCACCTATTGTACGAGCCTGATGGGTGGTAAAGCAGGGTCATTTCAGCTCAGTGGCAGGAAAGGGAGAGCGGATCGGTCCAAACAACAGCTAGCGAATGCTGCGCGCTACGCGTGACGACACAATGCAATGATGCTTTGTAATCTGGACGAAGGATGGACTACTTACGACCTGGCGAAGCGGTATGAGAATGCTGGTGAAACAGTTGACCATGGTCGGTGCTTCTCAGCTCCCTCGTTGGGATTTCAGTGATACAATGTCTTCCTGGTGGTTGCAGTCCCTGGAAGTCATGGCTCAAGACCAACGGCAATGGCGGACATGTATCTACGTCTGTTACGGCGATTTCTGTTCTTTTCCCTAATAAAACAAGCAATAAAAAATTAACAACTGCAAGTGGAAAATTTGGCAATAATCGTGCCTGTTTTTTCTCATTCCTCCCCTGTTTTCTCCCTCCGCCATGATCCCGATTGCACAATATCTGCATTACAATTTTTATATATATATATATATATATATATATATATATATATATATATATATATATATATATATATAATCTGACCTTGCCCATCTGATTTGATTTGCTTAGTTCTTTTTGTTCTCTGTACATATTTCTTTTTTATTTCACAAGTTGTCACTCCTTCCTTTGCGATGTTGGTTATTTGATATCTCCCAATTTACATTTGCACTTGCTAAATGTCACCCAAACGATCGATCCCAATTTATAAACTATCTTGGCTTACTCATTTCTGTCATTCTACCGCACATTTGCTATACCGTTTGCGTACTTATTTTCTTTCAGATTCAAAATCATGCCTGATTCTGTGGTTGATGTTTTATACATCAGGTTCCTTCACCGCAATTAGGCTACACCGACTTTCATCTTAAACTAGATCTTAATCAGATAAAAATTATTCCATTGTCTGATTTTCTCAGTTCTGTTATTCTGCCACCTATTCCATGCCAATTTTGCGTGTTTATTTTCCTTTACTTTCCGTTGGTTGTTTGCTATTCACGGAGTGGTGGCGCTTGATGTGAATGTTGACAATGTGCCTACTTGTCTAACACCCTCCACCTCGATTACTGTCTCCAGGATACCTTGAATCGTTCCTGGGGGGTGGGGGTTGCGGGTGGGAACTAGGTGCACGGTCACCGTGGCAGTGTTAGGATCAAAGAGTGGTTCCATTCATCCAGTGTGGAACGAACTACTGCCCAGCCACCGCCTTGTGTACATCTGATACGCATGGTTTCCCAATTAGGCATGAATACTTCTGTTCGGCTTGCTGAAGGAGTGTAAACCGTCACCGTTGATGAAGCGTGGCTCCCATCCACATGCCTTTCAGTCTTATTCCTTCCAGTTTACACTGGCTATGAAGTGTGTTGATGACGCTGTGGGTGGTGCAACACGTCACCCATGGTCCCTCTATATATTCGCTGGCGTCCTGTGGTGGCTACAGTGACAGGCGAATATGTGAATCAACGGACGAAAAGTGAATCAAGCGCAGGATAGGCAAGCTGGCCATTAGTGCACATCCCGGATGAGAAATCCCTGGCGTGACCGACACTCGATTTTGCCCTATTCATGACGAGTGCAGATTAGACAGAGCACACTGCACGAACAGCCGATGAAAGCAGGCAAGTGACATAATCGCCAGTCCAAACTTAACCGTTGGAAGTGGTTGCGCAGCAATCGCGCCACAATTTTGCTATTGTGGAAGATCCCACTGCTCAGGAATAACAAACCTTTGATCGCTGTCAATTTTTTTGCTTTCAGAAGGGCATTTGGCAGCAACCATAGCGGTTAAGATGGGGAAAAGACATCATGATTCATCCAAATTTTAGTGGTCTTTATCTCGGTCCCCGTGCTTCACACATGTTTGCCATTCGCTCATGATGCTTAATTGGTGTTAAAGCGTCTTTAGTTTTTAGTCTCTGTGTTCATTTGTCTTGCCTGATTTTAAAGTCCTTTTGTCAAGTTGACCTTGTTTTTCCTTGTGACGCACCGTCGCAATGGGATGACGTTTATCACCAAACTACTGTCATCATCTGTCTCCCACTTAAATCTTCATTTCAGCTCCCCATGACACAAAGGAACCCAGCCCAACCTCCGTATCCAGTTTCAAAGAACACACCACTCTTCACCCTCCGAATCTACCCACCGGTATCCTAGCCCGTTCCAAATCCCAACGTTTGCCTTCCGAATCTGGCGTTCTTACCAACAAGAATACTCAGATGATTCTGTCTACTTATCCTGAGCCCACTAACTATATGGCGGATGACGAAATCGGACGTTTGGCAATTGTGGATCCTGTTCGCTTGTGGGACACTAAGTTCACTTGTGACTCAAAATTGTTCCACGTCTCCCCGCCAGCGTGTGCTAGTTCCCCGAATCCATCGACGCACTTTAACTCAGAAATTGATTCACGCACATCGGAAGAGAAAGAAAATTATCCTGAGGTTTGTTTTCCCGGTGTCTAATTTGTCCGTATGCTAGTTCTCTTATTTGCACCCTTACTCGGGTCGAGTCTGGGCATTTTCTCTTCTACTCGATGCAGTTTGACACCGGTCTTCTGTTCGCACTGACACTTCATCGAGTCACTCGACATATTCTGACATTTTAAGTTTTTTGTTTGCGGATAGACATGGATCCATTAAAATCCTTGGAAAGTGCAGCTATCGTTAGAAAATAGAGAAGAGCACTGAGGAATCGACAGTTTTTGCAGTGGGTGCGGTTGCCTAAATCGAAGAGGGGAGTTGTCTTTGTGAACGTCACTCTGTGTCTATGATTAATTAGTCTTCCCGTAAGGCGGTGGAGCGAAGTACGAGAATCGCGCCCGTTGGGAGCTGGCTTTAAGAACCCGAGTTGCAGGCGGCATTGTTTATTGTGCAAACAGTTAGTACTAAGTGCATCTGTTCCGAAAAACGAGACATCCACCCATCTTCGTCATCCCGGTTGGAATTGCATGTCGCGGGTTTCTTTCTGTGTATAGTAGTTGTGCGATGTGCATTGCTTATGCATCCATTCCTCGTGCGCATACAACTGCGGTTCCAAAGTGTTTTCTTCTTTTGGGGGAGTCAGTACGGCCTGCTGTTGGCTGCTGCTGTTTCGTATGCTTGCACCACGCTACTGATAACTTTCGCAGTAGTGTTTGCCTTTGGTCTACCACATTCTTCCCTCTCCAAAGTACTCGCCTCAGCTGCCTCCGCTCGAAGTTTCTCTGACTGTCATGAATACTCACTGTGCGAACGGGATTCCTCCTTTAACTCGCACCACTTCCTCAACTCATTGGCGTGTACTCGCCGTGAATTTCCTTGCCGAGCGATTGTATACACTGGGCCTTGCTAGTCGACCACCTCGTACGGTCTCTTCCACTTCCGTAGGAGTTTCCTCTTCTCTGGACCACAATTAGGAGCGCGTTGATGGTCACTGTATTTCAACTTCGAACCGATCGGAAACTCGACACTCATGTAACCATTCTTGGTCTTGGAGTTCTCCATCCTCTGCACCTGAGTTCAGGTTACGGTTGGCTGCGTCCTGTTATCCTGTGCCTCTTTGGGATGTATTCGGTAAGTTGACCACATTCCAATCTCTAGATCCACAGGTAAGCGAGGTGCTCGACCATACATCAATTGGAATGGTGATTTCTTTGTAGAGGCCTGCTTGGATACTCGATGGGTTAGCAACAATAGTGGCAAAGCTTCCTCCCAGTCTCCATCCTTTGCCGCTAGCCACTCTTTAATCGTTATCTTGCTACATTTTGTCAGTCCATTTTTTGCGAGTGGTATGGGGTTGTCCGCACTTTCTTGATACCAAGTTTCTCCAAGCAGTTCCGGAATTCCTCTCTCCCACGAAGCACAGACCCGGATCTGTTAATATGACCTTTGGGATTCCGTGATCCGCAATCAAATGTTTCATAACGGCATGGGTAATGGTAGTCGCCCGACGATCCGGGATTCCTGTAGCTTCAATCCAGCGGGTGAGGTGCTCCGTCATCAACAAGATGTATTAGTTGCCACTACGCTGCAGCCATTGTTACTGATGGCTCCCTGACTTGGCCGCGGCTCATTGAGGCAGTTAAGAGACTGATCATGCTAGATTATCGGTACCAGCGAGACACTTGTCATATCTGGTGGGTGAACGGAGTGATTGACACCGAACTTTGTCATTGGATGTTTGACACGCCAGACCCTTCGTTGGTGTATCGTTGGTGCGTTTGTTGAACTCAGATGACCTTCGGTGGCTAGTTCATGTGCTCCGCACGCCTTGACTGCCTTTACTCGTATCACATGTCAGCACTGCTTCTGGTGTTTAGTGAAAACCCAAAGGCTTAGTCAATTACACGTCAGGCGAACATAAACGAACTCGCTGACATTCTGAGTTGGGCTAGTTCTCAGCGCCCTCCTAAATGGGATCTTCGGGGCCGGTCATATATGAGTGGTCAAACGCCTTGTTCCGGATGTGACACGGTCTCGGAATTAATGATGTTTTACATCTGTTTTTTCCACTGTTGGTCGTTGCTTTTTTCATCTGGTGAATTACGTTGTTTTTGACTGTTATTATTTTAGCTAAAATGATTAGTTCTCCATTCACAAATGGAAAAGCACAGTGAACAGACAGGGTTTAGCAGATGCATGCATTTCGTATCATCTCTTCGGTGTCGATAACGTTGACTGGGGATTAACTACAACTGTGGTGTGCAGCCTCGCAAACAAGCAAAAGGAATAGGCGGAAATCTCGCCCCTACCCTCAGGGCAATCTGAAGTTGATCGACAGTTGCTTTCGAACACAAAGCGTTGGTTTTATCCGGTTTATCGCAACAGTCGCGGCCGAACTTTAAGTGACGTACTTACCTCATTCCGGTGATCTGAGGTCAATACATGTCTTTTGATCGAAGATGCTGACGGCCCGTGTGAACGCGTAGCTTGTGCTGGGCATGGTTGTTGTGTCGTCTCGTATTGGATTCACTTTGGAACATGTTTTTTCATTCTGGAACTCCAGATCTTATCGGTTATGTCTATGTAACTAACTTCTAGTCACCTAAGAATTGGTATGCACTTGGGGAGTTGACCACGATAGGCTAAAGATGGTGGCTTATGATTTCCGTCGCTAATCGTGACTTCAGCAGCACAGGTATTCTGTATGGCAGAGATCAGTCATATGGTACTCCTCAATGCAGCAATATCACCCCAAAGTGAGATTCCATGAATATGTCCTTTTTAAGCACGGCTGTTCTGAATACGCTTGTCGATAAATCTTCTGGGATAGCCACTTGCAGTTAGTTCGTCAGTCAGACAATCAGTCAAACATATTCTCCTAGCACTGCTAAGGTCTTCAAAAGCGTCCATTTGTACTACAGTGCTGCGAAGCTAGTGAAATACAGGCATTGACCGGACCATCTTACTTTTCTGTGGACGGACTTTTTAACCTGTCCGTTTTCTCTGCGGCTGATGAGAACCTCTCAATGAGGGAGCCAGTTCTGTCACTCAACTTCAGAGGAGACCCTCAAGTTGGTATGCGCAGCATTTAGACTCGTCACCGGATGTGTGGTCTGCTGTTCAGAGGAACAAAACTTGTATGTCATCCAGATATCGGTTATAGCAATGGTTCTCAACATTTTTGAGTTTGTTACCCACAAAACTGGTCCCCCCATATACAGTTACTTTAGTTTAAAAAGTTAGTTAAACATTATCTATTGATTCTTGTTTTAAATTAGAGGAATTGTATACCATTATTAATTGCGTTCGATAATTTAAACAAAGAAAACACCTAGCAGATGGAAATTGGGTGTTGCACACCCGAAAACACTGCACAACCAAGACGCGTTTCGATGTAATTTCATCTCATCAGGTGGAGACAGCAGGCCTCGATCCCGCGACCACTGGAATAGTAGCCGAAACCTCTACCCCTTTGGTTACTGGGTCACAGTGGGCAACGCTTAGCACAACGGTAATGACTAATTGGAGAGTCAAGTTTGGACTACACGTTGAGTACGGTCCCAGTGATCGTCTTGACTAAGGTTCACTTCAATGTGGACCACAGTCCATTACATTAAGATTGCGCGTCGCAATCCAATCACACAACGTGTAGTCCAAACTGGACCCTCCAATTAGTCATTACCGTTGTGCCGAGCGTTGCCCACCGTGACCCGGTATCCAAAGGGGTAGAGGTTTCGGCTACTATTCCAATGGTCGCGGGATCGAGGCCTGCTGTCTCCACCTGATGAGATGAAATTACATCGAAACGCGTCGTGGTTGTGCAGTGTTTTCGGGTGGGCAACACCCAATTTCCATATACTTTGAGTACGGTCCCAGTGATCGCCTTGACTAAGGTTCACTTCAATGTGAACCACATTCCAAGAAAACACCTACTTTTGAGCCATTTTTATTAAATCGAGTGGCTGTGTACGTCACTGACATGGTTGATACTGCACACATCCTTCTTCTTCACTTCAGTTGGGCCACACCGACTTAAACTATATATTCCTACTCTGGATAGAAAGTATTCCACTTTTGATGAAACTTGTCCTACATTTGTCTCGACGGATGCATCGAACATTGGCTTAGGAACAGTCCTGCCTCGGATGCGGAACGTAAATGCAAAAATTATCGCGTGTGCTTCCAAAAACTTATCCCCTACAGAAGCTTCATAATCCGCTGGCGAAAGAGAAGTTTTTCATTGTGTGTGTGGGCCTGTAGGAATGACACATTTTTTCTGTTTAGTCAGAGGTTTACAGCGCGCATAGATCACTTTGCCCTAACTGCCTCCCTTAGTCGGGGATCAACGGCCACAGGCCACTTTGCATCAATCGCTGGTATGTCCGTCTATTGAATTCACATTCCGCCCAAGTTCCGAGAATCACATCACAGATAGCTTATCCCGTCTTCCATTAGACGATCCAGATAAGAAAGAGGATACTTAAGAGAAAGTATTGATTTCCGCTTTGCATTCAACTAAAGTAGAGCTGCAAGAAGCCAATAAAACGACCAACATCTACAGACCGTTCCCCGCTACCTCTCCGAAGCTTGGCCTCGATACACGAAGTTCACTGGCGAACTACGTACATTTTATGCTTTATGGCAAGAACTCGCGGTCATTGATGGTTGCCTTATACGAAGCTTGCGATTAGTGGCTCCACAGGAACTAACAGCAAAAGTCCTCCAATGCGCACACGATAGACATCCAGGCATCGTGTGAACAAAGCGCCGGCCACAGGAACACTTTTGGTGGCCGAAGATGTCTAAAATTGCAGACGGGTGTGTGCGAGTTTGTAAAGTGTGTCGGAAAGCTGGCAAGAACTCAAAAACGGTTGATGCCTATCGTTTATCCAATGAAACTCTTGTAGAAACTGGCGATTGACATCGTGGAACCGTACCATTCTACTCCACGGCACCCGAAGAACTGTTTGGTGACCACATGCTCATACAGAAAATAGTTTGAATATGACCTCTGTGGCATATTTGAACGGGGCTTTCAAAATTAACCGTGCTTTCCTGTTCCATCTGTGGAATCACGCACACACACACGCTTTCGGCAACTTTCTGCTTTGGTTTTCTTCACCAAGCCACACAATAATCAAGCTCGTGTTAGCCTACACTCCCGATATTTTAAAATCTCCAAGTGTTTCTACTCCCCTGGACGGTCCCATTTTTCTGGTCAAGCCATAAGAAATAAACTGAAGCGAATCTACAAAAGAACATCAAATCTGCTAAAAAAGCATTGTGTTGCATGGAGGGTCGCTCTACGCAGCCAAACTTTGCGGAGTATGAGTATACTATCATACTTAGCTCAACTATCCGATCATTGTGAGCAAAATGGATGAGATTAAAACCCAAGTCTGTCCTCGAAACTAGGCGTAATCATACTTCAAGAGGCCTGGCTCTATGAGACGTGAACGACACAATTGTAGCGATCGACGGATTCATTTGCCATCGTGCCGACCGGAAATGTACCTACGGCAACCGTGGCGGAAGAGCTATTACTTATATCAATCCGTCGTGCGTTTCATGAAAATGCATGTTTCGCTTCTTTTCGTCACATAGTAACTGTTTAATTTCGAAATGTAAACCAAGAAGCCTGAGCGGCTTCCATTCGATTTTTAACTGGCAAATATCTACATTCCCCCCCAGTTTATTTGCTTTTTTGCTGATGATTTCAACAGATTCGACACAATGATCTCAGGTTACAAATTGTTGTAAACTCTCCCACTATACTTGTAGTGACCCTAGATCTGATATTTGTAAACAATGAGAAGTTCGATGTGCTCCATGTGGCATTTGGTGTACTCGCTGTGTGGTTGGATTGCGACTCGCAATCTCTATTCAGACCTCGGTCCTAAGTGGACCTCGGTCATTACGATCACAAGGACCGTAACCGAATTGGTGATTCGGTGTTGCTCCTCCCAACCCTGAGACCCCATGACCGGTTTCGTCCTCCTTTGGACTCATCAGATGGAGATACCCTGAGCTGGGGTGGACCTCGAGGTATAGTGTTCAAAGGTTGACGCCCTGACCACTATGGCTCCTAGGTCCAAATGCCACATGGAACACTTTACCGCTGTGCCAAACGTTGCTCGTGGACCTAGGAGCCATAGTGGTCAGGGCGTCAACCTTTGAACACTATACCTCGAGGTCCACCCCAGCTCAGGGTACCTCCATCTGATGAGTCCAAAGGAGGACGAAACCGGTCATGGGGTCTCAGGGTTGGGAGGAGCAACACCGAACCACCAATGAGAAGTTCGTTTTGTGCGCAATCAGGCGCCGATTGATAGCTCTGATCATTCAAGGGTCAAGTTATCCCCTGTCATCTGCAGCAAAATAGATCACATGGACCTCACTCGCTGAAAGTATCGTTAGCTTAGAAGAAGACAATGTTCACCACAGAACATATATCGACTACGAGAAATGATTGCATCTACAGGCTTTAGTAGATTCCTTGACAGTGTTTTATCTACGTACTGTAAGCGGTCAACGAGCTATTTCAACTTCTGTTTTGATACCTGCTGTCCACTTGAAACGATTTATATCCGTGCTGATCGGTTTTTACCTCCGTTTCTAAAACGCCCGCGTAGACTCAAAGAAAAAGCGCTCCTATAGTAGGACCACGTTGCAGTGTAGTCTTTCTATTTCTATCAAGTTAGAGTTTCGCCCTCTAAACCATCTATATGTCCAGACCATTTAAGGCAATAATAGCTGCCGAGAGGTCTGGTGGATGCTGAAGCAACTTAATAATGTCTCTCATCGAACGTCAACTCTAGCCGTGGACCCTAACGATTTGAACAGCAAATTTTGTTTCAGTACTCTCTACACTTCTTACCCTTCCTCTCCCCGAATGCACAGTCCTACCATCGCTTCATCTACTATTGACAGGAATACAGTGCTCAATCAACTGCTGGAGCTGAATTCTCGCAAAGCATGTAGCCCGGACGGATTATCTCTCCTTGTTCACAAGGTGTTTGATAATTCCTTGGCCTGGCCTCTTGTTGACATGTACACGTCGTGCATACAAGAACATCAAGTTGCGCAATGTTGAAGAAAGGCTAAAATTACACCGGTAGCAAAGGAAGGCTCAGCTAAATACCGGCCAATTGCTTGCACCTCAGTAAACGGCAAGGTCTAAGAGAAGATTTTTCTATCAGGTCATTAGATACCATCTGCTGTATGGCCTTTACCACCACCTTACGTTTAGCCAGTGGAATGTGACGTGATTGTGATACGGAAAATGGTTCTGTGTCCTGTTTGCGCCGGCGCTGTGGATAGACGAAGAGGAGGAGAGGCCAAACGATGACTTGGTCTATAGGAATGAAGTCCCTCACTTCAAAGTTGGTGTTTCCCGAATGCGTGCTTGGGGACCGAAGAATGAGGAACACGTCTGGTTGGATACACTAAATAACATGGCGAAAAGTCGACCTCAGTGGCGTTTGTCTTGTGAATCTCTTTGTCCCTTCCCTTCTCCTCAGCTTCCTCCTCCAATAACTATCCAAAATGTAATATTAGCATTATGTTACTCTCTTATAGCTTTTATGTCTACACTGTTTACTCTCTTACATTTTGTGTTGCGGCACAATAAGTGAGGTGTGCTTCGCGCCCTCGCCTAATATCTGTTGATGCTGATGACAATGATATATATATATATATATATATATATATATATATATATATATATATATATATATATATATATATATATATATATATATATATATATCTGTATGCAGACAATGTGCCATCAGAACCATAGCCAAATGGAAGACACTAGGCGTAAGAAGGAAAATAAGAAAAGAGACAGCGATTTTTTGGTTTCACACGCGTCGTTTTTTGATCTATAAATCTATACTTGAGATTAATCAGCAAATAAAACGGCAACACAACGCTGGCGCCACTGATGTCTGTTGCGTACCATCACATTAAGCGTTTGCAATCACAGGAATTCCGAGTCACGTAATCCCCAACCTGGGAGGCGCAATGATCCGACTGAAGCTAAGCTTGAGGCTGCTTTCTTCATGCTTCTTTTCCACGTCATTGGTTGTCCACTGCGATACGTTTTCCGGTCGCTTTCGGGAAGTGCAACTAACTCTTGCCGGGAAAGGTGATAAGCTGGCATCCGCGGTACATAGCCGAGTTAACTTATGCGGTGTCGGCGAACAACGTTTTGTAGTCTGGAGCTATTCGCTCCAAGCACTCGTTCACGAGCCTCCGTTTGCGCATGTGATGTTGCCACCACACACAAGCGATCCTTCGCAGACGAAATAAGACAGTGGTGTCATGTCTTCGGACCGAACACGCCAAGTCGCACACCCGTACAATGGGACCGAACAGACGGAACCATTGTACACCCCGCCTTTGAGTTTGAGACTGACGTCACGACGACGCCATCACTGTCTCAATTGGATGAAACCAAAACCAACTTTTGTAATGCGCTGTGAAACCTCATCTCCAACACCGTCACCATCCGTGATGCAACTCCCTAGGGTAAATTGCATGTTGGTTTTTGAGGAAATGATCACTTTTTGCGCTGAGATAAATGTGATGAAGTGACCACATTGGGACAAGTAAGGGGTTCGTTGGCAAAAGCGTTTTCACAGGTGTGACACTTGGCGTCAACGTATTGTTGGCCATATTGTACCATTAAACTCGTCAATTCTCAGCTTATCCAGATACTTGACCTTTTATATTTGGGGTCGAACGATCGACGGTACTAAAATGTCATTCCCTTTCACATGCCGTCCTGGGCGGACTGCCCCTCTCCACTCTATGCTACGCCTCTGCGTAGCCACCTCAGTTGGCGCGGCTATATTAGCTTATCGAGGTCGGGAGTCCGTATCACCCAGGACGCAACATCGTCGTTACAAACGTAGTGTTCCCACCGCACACGAGCTATCCTCCGCAGGCAACCGTCGTTCAAGGCCGAAATCAGACGCAACTCGTTTACACAGATCTACCAGCATTCACTTCCGTACAATAGGACCACGCGAACACAGGTATTGTAGACCCTATCCTTTATCGAGAGTGAAAAGTCACGACAACGCCACTGATGCATCAGATCAGCCAAAGCTCCTTGGGCTATGGCAATATAGAGCGAAATCTCTTTATCATTGGTGCCATCAGAAGCGACGCAGCTTCCAAGGTGAATGGAGCTATCTACTTGTTCAAGCTGCACGCCTTTAAGCATCATACGGGGGCAAGTGGATGCCAATCCTAGCGTCGAACTATGCACTTCGACGGAGCAAAGGTCCTACCATGCTTGGTGCAGCGGAATGTTAGTAAACGACGATTCTACACCCAAGCATCACATCACTTTATCGAACAAGTTCAGTTTGTCGACTCTTTCACGCCCTAGGGATTAAATTGATTTCTTAACGGCGACAGTGCTTTCACTGACCAGCGAGCTAGTTTATGTTGGGATGCATTTACCATTGCGGGGATAGGTCTAGGTGGCACTCCGCTCTCGTAGGTTTTTGCTAGCCCATACAACTGCGGTGTAGTTGAGCCACTCGACTTTAAACAATTGTAAGTTGCATTGATGATTGCACGATACTGTGAGAGCATTTCTAGATGGTGAAGATTCCGGTGTCAGGACAACTTGTTCCACCCCATCTCGGTGCACAGATCAAAATTTACTGACTTAACTGAATTGGACTACGGGCACGATACTACTGATTATTTTGGGTCATCGTCTCTGACCCAGTTGCTCTGAGAAATTATTGTGCTCGCAAAAGTTACAACTTTATGCTTGTACGAAGTTAATTTGTACTGTGCACCTCTCGTTTCAGATTGAGACTCGGTACTACGTGGTCCAGCGGTACTACGGCCCCGAGCCACGGATGCGAGACGCGCTTCCGGCCATTCATCGCATTGCTCTCACCGCTGGAACCAACCCACCATCCTTCTCGATAAACGGAACCTAAGGATGTTGCTCGGATTCGTTGTATTTCTTTTGGTGATCCGGTTGTTCGCTTTTCCCCGTTAGGAAATCGTTCCTTTTTTTCCCTTTGCATTTTTCCAAGTGATTTATTCCGTTCCTTCGTTATCTTCCCACTGTGGACTGTTTCACTTTGTGTGTATCCAGAGTGTGACTGTTTCACTCCAACAGTCTCCCCATTTTATGGCGTGTTGTACCGGTTTTAAATGCCCAGTTACCAAAGCACTTCCCGCATCATCATCTGTTTTCAAGAATACGCTTGTCGCTCAGCATTCACGTGCATGAATGCGTTGTGTACATTCATCAACTTTCCTTCAATATCTACTTCGTCGAACCCATGGAACACTCTTCCCTCTGGCTTACAAGTATCTATTGATCTCGATCCTCCTCCTATCCACCGAACAAGCTTGAGCCCTGATTTTTCTCCTATACCTTGACTGTCCTTCGTCTCCACTGTGGTCATGTGTAATCTCCATCCGCTACGTAAACACGTGGTTTCCTGTGTGTTACAACTCGACCCGTACAGAACTACAACTTTTAGTAGAACCCAGTATTCGGTCCGTAACGCCATGGCAGCAGAGCACGTCAGTTTCTGCAGTACACAAAATGTCCCAAACATCACGCTTCGCATTTGTTAAAGCACTTCCATCAATGGTTCCTTTGGCGTTAAACTGATTCATTGACGCTTTTGGGTCCAGCCAGTAGGAAGCAACTACACACAGTTTAATCGATGACTGGCTTAGCGTTAGACTGAGACACACACCGACTGTCATGATCGACCAGACAAGTGTACTCAGCTCGCGCAGGTACCACATTCCTCCTTTGGTTGAAACTACCCCAGCTGGTCTGGTATCGATGGACTGGTCGGCGTACTCGGCCTGAGTGGCGACATTGCGGAGTGGCGGTTGAACTGTTCGCTAAGCCTGGCAATTTTGTTGCAAACGTTTCGTCACCCATCGAGGTGACATCATTGCGTAGTTGCATGGCGTGCAGTAGCGTAGAGGAGCCTCGGTGAGAGGGATGGTCCTTGTGCCGTCTGGTAGAGCCACTTCCGTAATTTGTCCCGCAACTTCACGCAGATCTTAGGGTTGCCCGTTCTTTTCCTTTGTAAGTTGACATAAGCCGGTTCGTTCTTACAGAGCTGTCGATCTACCGCCCTCCGCCTCATACTTATCTTGTGTTTGGCGTCGACACATGGCCCCTGATTGGAAAACAGCAGGTCTAGTCATTTCCTTAATCCCTGCCAGGACTGTTACCAGTCGTTTTGTCCAGTGTGGAACGATAACCGAAAAGAAATTTGTTTAGCCTTGTTCGCGGTGGAGCTGCCAATTCTTTGCGTACCCCGTTTGGACCCCTCTTTCAGCTTATCCATTAGAAACTGGGTGCTAAGGGGCTGACTTCACCCGACGTATACAGTTATTTTTTGGAAACTAGTAAACTCGGATCCATTGCCTTTGTGGAATACCGAAGGTTCTAAAGCACGTTCGTAAGAATGAAACTGTAGCCTCTGACGTGACTCGTGTTAGTGGGAAAACTTCGATCAGTGGAACAAACGCTTTTGCGTCAAGTGAGCCGAAGAAGTCAACATTTACACGACCCCATGGTTTGATGGGCTAAGTGGTACCGGAGGGGCGCTTCTGTGTTCTTTGACAGGCATCGAAGTGTCGGATTAACTCTTCAATGTCTGTCAATATTGGGCCACCACACATAGGATCACGCAAGTCATTTCATCCTCGGTATTCCAGGGTGAGCTTCGCGCAGTTCTTTTCGAGTATCCGGACGCAATCGGAGTGGAATGATCGATCTGAATCCACAGAGTAGATATCCATTTTTAAAACTAAGCTCCCAGCCTCGACGGAAATATGCTAACAGTTACGGCCCACATTTGTCAGGCCATCCCTGGGACACTGACGCTTGATCTTGGCAAGTAGTATGTCCCCTTCCGTTTCATGGCGGAGCTCTGCGCTTAGCACCGAATTTCCATCTAAATGCTGAAACAAATGAGTCAGTTCAGTGGATTTCAGTACGCAATCGTGTACCTGACTTAACGGTAAGCTACTCAGAACGTCGGCAACCACTCGCTTTCACAGGAAACATACAAGCTTTTGTGATTTTAGTCGGAAAGCAGTAAAGCCGAAGGTTGAACATGAGGGTCGCCAACTGGTTGATGCCCTTTTCCTCGCCGAGCACAGTTACTAAATTTTTAGTCTGTAAAAGCTTCAAACCTTCCCTAAAGGTATCGGTGCAATTTCTTCACCCCATAGATTATCGCTAAGGCCTTCTCGTCTAGCTAGGCGTAGTTCCTCTTCGCTGGTGCCAAGCTCCTAGATGCAAAAGCTTTGGGTCGTTCGGTCATGTCTTCCATTTGGTGATATAGCACGACTCCGAGCCCAGTGGGAGATGCGTGGCACCGGAGAGTAGTCGGCCTCTTTTGGTCAAAGTGTACCAACAATTTAGCCTTACTAATAGCCAACTTGATAGAAAGATTAAGCATCTTGTTGTTCTAGTGACCACAGCCATCGGGTATTCTTACTTAGCAATGCATACAAGAGCGTGAGAGTAGTAGCTAAGCTGAGCAAAAAACTACTTTAATGGGTCACCATCCCAAAAGATGATTGTAGTTCGGGAATGTTACGCGGTGTCAGCGAATCGAGAATGGGTTGCATTTTCTCCCGTAACCGATGTAACCCATGTTTGTGCAAACAAAACCCCAGGCACTCAACATTACCTGAGGAAATGCACTTGTATTCTTCGACTTTCAGTCCGCTTTCTTGGAGTTGTTCCACAACAGTAGTGAGCGTCGTCGGATGTTCTTAATCCTTACTACCAGTAACCAAGATATCATCCAAGTAAGCACTCAGTCCAGGTATACTTTTCACTAACTTGTCTACAATCCTCTGAAAGATCACCGGTGCAGAGTGCATTCCAAACGGTAACCGGTTGTTGTGAAACCATCCCCCTTGGCAGAGTCATGAAGCTCCGCTTGAGAATAAGCGTGGCCCAGATCAAGTTTGGATAACTTTTGTCCACCCAACCAGGTTGCATAGAGATCATCTATTCGTACTTTAGAATAGTGTTCCGTAGTCGTCGCTTGATTGGCCGTCCCTTTGTAGTCACCGCAAATACCGAAACCATCGGTACGGTCCAGGATAATTGGCATATAGGCGAGATTGTTCCACTCTTTTAAATGCGCTGTAGCTACGATTCTAACTTCTGACGGATCGCAAAAGGCAAGCTTTGTTCTTTGAAAAATTGTGGTGTAGAAACGAACTTTGAAAGCACGTAATTTCTCGAGCAGGTTTGCATCAAAAACAGTGGCGAAAGTTGCGCAACTCTGGAATGCGATCCACCTATTTGACAATTTGGCGTATTCCCGGCATATGTTCCAACCAATTTCTCTCCAGCAGTTTTGGGCCGTCGATGTTAACCACGATGAAGGGAAGAGTCAACCTATCGCTTCTATGGGTTACCCTCACATCACACGCACCCGATACATCAAGTGCTTCTCCCGTGTAAGAACGTAATTAGACTGAGTCGGTGACAGTACCAGATCAGGCAATGTTCAATTGTTGATCAAGGTGACTCGTATCCCGGTGTCGATTGCCAAATGCACTGCCTGGCCTTCTATGTCCAACTCCACGGTATATGGAAGTATCCCCATAACGTGAGATTTGATAGTGTGGCGATAAACACGATATGAACTCAGCAGTTTTCAACTGACCGAACGGTATTTTGTGCGGGGCGGGATATCGATTGTTGGTAAACTGTCCAACAGCATACACGTACAAGATATTCAAATTTGGTGCCAGATCGATTGCTTGTATCTACAGCCCGCGACGTTTTCATGCCTTTCACCACATCGGAAGCAAGTAAAAGAATGTTGGCCGGTTAGTTGAGGATGTGACTTAACTGCGTGGGAAAGAGAGTCGTTCCGATAGTGAAGCAATTGTTGCATCATGTTTTCCCGGTGTCTGACCAGTGCGCATGCTTTCTCCCAATTCAGTTTGTTCTCTTCCGAAAGTAGACATTCTCTGGCTTTATTGTCCCGGATACCAATCAACAGACACTGGGTGGCCATTGTCTCTTCAAACTTCTGGGTGGAAGGGATTGTTGTATGCGAATCAGGAATTCATTAGCACCCTCTCCCTTTGGTAACTAGGAAAATCTCAGGCATGCCATGTTGCTGCGGCCCCCAAAGACAATCGAGTACGTTAGAACTGACCGACAAAGATGTGTTAACATACAAACGGAGTGCATCTAAATGCCTTTAACCTTCTGTGCCAAAATGTCTCGGGAGCTCGATAGATTGGGCTTCAGTAAGATTAATGTGAGGAATTGTTTTTGTCCAAGGTAATCGCAGAAGGTTTTCTTCTAGCGAGTCTAAAGCGCTACAGTTCGCTTTCAAGATGCATCCTACCAAAGTAGTTAAAGTGACGTTAGCTGGCTCAAAGCAAAGGGATCCAACGTTGATCTCTGTCATCATCATTATACACGTTAGCTAGAGGTAGGAAACACCTCAGCTACTGTGCACCAATACATAAAGGAAAAGGAAAATAAATATAAGAGTTGCGTGCCAGCTGAGCTAGCAGCATCGGATAGGCATCGTTCCGGTAAGCTACCAGCTGGCTACTAGGCATCAAGAACAATTATTATGTATAATTATATTGCGCTACGAAATGGTTGAAGAGAGATTGATTGTATTGCGTGGGCAGGACACTGTCAGGTTGCCCAGGCCTAGACAGGCGAACCATTAGGGTTCTCAACCAAAGCCTTTGGTTCAAAAACCTTACCGCAAGGCAGCGGGTTTGGCGTTGGGCTACAAGGAGTCCGTTTTAAGGAATAAGGTGCCACCCTCATTTCAACCCCCAACCTGGAGGACCAGGAGGCTGAGTTTGTCTGGCCTCTAACCATTGACCAATCTGGTATGAGTGGCTCTGAAGGTGCAAAAGCACCACCCAGTATAGCTCAATGGATCACTGAGGCACACAAACCATCGCACCACAGTAAGGTCCAGCCTCATTGCGATGGTTGATCTCTGTCGCCAATGTTACATCCCGTACGGAACTACAACTCTTAGTAGAACACACTAATCGACCCGTAACGCACGGCGGCAGAGCACGTCAGTTTCGGCAGTACACAAAATCTCCCAAACACCACGCTTCGCATAAGCTCTATCAATGGTTAGCTTAGCGTTAAACTGACGCACTGACCTTGGTGTGTTCAGCCAATAGGAAGCAATTGCACACAGTTTAATCGATAACTGACACTCATTGATTTTGGCAAGATCGACCAGGCAATTGAAATCAGCTCCGCAGACACCAAGCCATATATCATACTTTATAGATTATGGGGTTTGTGTGATGAGTTGTGTTTCCAGTAACCCACAGCCCATCTGACGATGGGACTTCTTTTCACATTTCTCGATTTGCCCATTAGTACACCTACAAAATAAGATCGGCGTGTCCGTTGCGACGGAGCCCCTTCTGCATATCTTGTTTCCGGGATGCACGTTCCCAACGTCGACCGATTAATCGCTTCCTGTCTTTTTTCGGGTATTTAGAGCACCCGCCGTGTGTTTTGGATTGCGACGCGCAATCTCACTAGTGGCGTCGGTTGACGTTGAAGTCAGCCTCTGC